TCCCAATAATCAGGCAGAGAGGGAGAGGTACTCACCCAAGAAAACAGACCTGTGGGGAAACAAACCATAGATTGACAGTGCTTTTTTCAAGTCTGTCTTGACCTGTGGGTGTTGGTGGATCCAAGTTGATCTCCTGAAACTTTTAAGAATCGTCTTTAAGAGGCAAAAATGTCAGATATGTTAGCATTACTATTGTTTGTAGCTGTGTTGAAATCCATGCTGTAGAAGAGGTAAGGAGACTCATATTTGGAGTCATACTAAAAGTTTGGAAACCTAAAATAGTTTTGACTAAAAGCAATAATATCGTTGGCAGGGGCGAAACAGGCCTTTAATTCCAACACTTAGGAGGCAGAAGGAGGCAGATCTCTGTGAGTTCGAGTACAGTCTGGTCTACAGAGTGTATTCCAGGACAGGATCCCAAACTACAGAGAAACCCTGTCTTGAAAAATAAATAAATAAATAAATAAATAAATAAATAAATAAATAAATAAATGTATAAAGCAGTAACATCTTAATTTTGTGTGTATGTGTGTGTCTAGAGGAGTAGATATGTATATAGAGTGGGACGATGTTTTTATTGTAAGAAGTATTTTAAGTCTGCATTAAAAAATAACTAGAGGGAATATAAAATCCTGAGTTTGTACCTATGATATCAGTGGTGACATTTTTTGAGAGCCAGATTAGTATCTTATTAGAGTTTTATTTATTTTTTTCCTTATATACCTCAAATCACCTTTGCTAATAAGATGTTTAGCCCCCTCCAGAGGTCTGTATGGTCTTTAGGTATTAAATCTAGATCTGAGATTTTTCTGTATAGGAGTAACTTGGGGAATTGACCCCACCATTTTACCAGACAAAGGAATTGAAAGTGTACACAGCACAAACAGAGCTGTAGCAGCATTCAAGGAAGGGCATAATTTTGTCCATTGTAAGAAGTTTAAACATTCTTGAAGCCAGGAGGCTGAGTAAGGAATTGATCATATTAATACTTAGCATGTTTACAAATATATTTTGAATACATTAGAGAATCTGATAATTTATTAGATGATCTAGAATTAGTTTGTATTTTTAAATGATCTTTAATAACTTACAATTTAAATAAAACTTATCCTTAAGAGTTTGTAGTGTAAATTAGTGGCTAGATGATTAGTCGTTAACTTATATTCTTAATTATTTTTAATAGTTTACAATTCAAGTAAACTTATTCTTAACAGTTTATAGTTTAATTTAGTTGCTTTTATAAATTTCGAACTTTATGTTTCATCCCTGTTAGGTTTAGCCTTAAAAATAACAATTTTGAATTGAGGTTCTTTTAGTACGGAAAAAAAGTTCTTAATCATAAATATAATATATAGGGAGACTATTAATTTTATAAATCTTTTTATAGTGTATCATGAAATAAAATAGGTGCAATAAAGAAATCAAAATAATAGTTCCATGAGTGACAGGGGTAGGGGAGGTTTATTCCAATTTGTGCAGAGGAAAATTTTTCTAGGTTAGATGAGAAGTTCAAGTTTCAGAGGCCTGCCGGCACCCTGCGGCTTCTGATCCAGCCCGCTGAAATCGGAAGGAAAGGGGAGGGATGGAGATGCGGGCAGATATCAAGTGAAAACGTGAGATTTTTAAGCAGGGAGCACGGAGAAAAAAAGGCAGAGACTCTAAAAGAAAGTGTTCTGATTTAAAAACAAAACAAACTTTTAATCCAAGGACGTCTCCAAATGGATTGAAAGACCTGTTGGAATTTCCCAAATTACAGAAGAACCGTGTCCCCTTTTTTTATGACGGGGGCCCGATAGAGTTAATGGGAACTTCTGAAATGCTCACGACTTTTGTAAACAAAACAGGGAGTTCCTTGGCTACATTTACTAAGAGACAGGGAGATGAGAGAAAGAGAGAGAGAGAGAGAGAGAGAGAGAGAGAGAGAGAGAGAGATTTAGCTGAAGAAATAGGTCCTGAGTGCTGGGATAAAGTGGGGGAGGATCATCTTTTAATTTCCAATTAGCATAAGTGGCTTGGCTAGCACAGCAGACGCAGTCAGCCTGTCAGAGAAGCTTGCTTTAGAGTTAATCAAACAGCTTTAGCTTGGTAAAGCTGATATCCTTGGCCACAAGCATTTTGGAAGTTAACTCTTTCCTTTCCTCTCCCAGTGATTCGACCTGCTGAATGCTCTGACTATTAAGGCTATTAAGAATATTGCTCTTTCTAGAACTTTTATTTTGGCAAAAGAAAATGCGAACACTATTAGATTTACTTCCAATAATGAGTATGAAGTTTGCCAAGAAGTTTGCATAATCTGGTACCTACATAGTCTTGCCTTCAGCTGGTACTCCATGTACCAGCTGATGTCATCATGACTGCTCTCTTACAGGTTGTTCACCTTCCCACTAAGATTGCTACAGCCAAGAAACTAAAACTGCTGGGTGATGGTGGCACAGGCCTTTAATCCTAGCTCTCCAGAGGTAGAGGCAGAAGAATCTCTGAGTTTGAGTTTAGGCTGGTCTGCAGAGATCCAGGATAGCTAGGGCTACTCAGAGAAACTCTACCTTGAAACTCCCCCCGGAAAAGAATATATGCATTGGCAAATACTAAACACGCATCCTCAAATGCCCCCATTGTTTTTGTACCCAATTCATAAGCCTGTATTTATCTCTGACTAATACTATCCTTGTTCCACAGTCTGAAAAGGATAAATGCTGCAGAAGTCTGGACAAATGGACTTCCTGTGACCTTTAACATTTTGTCTTCCGTATATCTTCTATTAAACAGGATATATGTGCTCCTCATAGTTGAGAGGCTAAAAAAATTGGTTTTCCCCCCAGAGTTCCTATCTCAGAAAGAAGTTTATGTAGTACCACTAAACCACCCATCAAATGAAAGAAGAGTATCCTCCTGGATTCATATGGATCAAAGCAAAGGAGATTAGGACAACTGGAGGGCCAGCCCTACAAGTGACCTTAGATTGCCAGGCCACTTCTCAAGCCCCAGAGGCAGACAGCACCATGAAGTAGACAGACATTTCCCAAGGTCATGGATCAGGTTCCATCTACTTCCCTTCTCATAGTGTTCTTTGTAAAATCCTCCTAAAGATAAGGCTATTGCATTATTATTATTATTATTATTATTATTATTATATTTATTATTCAAGACAGGGTTTCTCTGTGTAGCCATGTCTGTTCTGTAACTGCTCTTTAGACCAGCTGTCCTGGAACTCATTCTTTAGACCAAGGTGGCCTTGAACTCATAGATCCGCCTGCTTCTGCCTCCTGAGTGCTGGTATTAATGGTCTGTGCCTCCACTGCCCAGAAAGATAAAACTTTGAAACACTTTCCTTGTGTTTTTCTCTTGGTGGGTTAATCATTGATCCCCCTCCTTGCAATGTCCAACACACACACACACACACACACACACACACACACACACACCAGTCAGACTGGCCTCACCTTTCAAGTGCTGGGATTTCAAGTCTCTGTCATCATACTGAGATTTGGTCTGTATTTCCTAAAACACAGATATATATTCAATAGACAAATGAGGTTAAACCATTTGTAACTCAATTATTTTAGGAGTAGTTAGTTTAATGGGATTTCGATGAAATGTGCTTAGATTTATTGTTTTCTGATTACTTAGTCACATTGTAACTTACTCTTTTCTCTGCTTGAAGATTTATTGCCATTGATTATTTGTCTGAGTTTCCTTTTCTCAGCTACCAACTTCTGTGTGAAACTTGTAGAGAAATTTGAGATAGGGGAAGTGACAGAGTCCAGGAACTAGGAACTCTGGCATGCTGATATTTTTTGTCTCTTTGCCTCATATTTTTGAGGAAGGTGTTCTCTCTCTCTCTCTCTCTCTCTCTCTCTCTCTCTCTCTCTCTCTCTCTCTCACACACACACACACACACACACACACACACACACATATACTGGCTGTCCTGGAGCTCACTATGTACTCAAATTCATGGTAATCTGCCTGTCTCAGCCTTCAGAGTACTGGGATCAAGGCATGCCCCATCATGCTTTGCTTACACTGTTTCTGTTGTTGCTGTTTATTTGTTTTGCTTTTCAATTGTTTTATTACTTCACATTATTTTCCATGCAAATGTGCAAAACTGCACTGTTCACAGAAACTTACACAGAGTGGGAAGGCAGTCTCCAATTAGAAGCTGACAACACAAGACCCATTTGGCACACGGAAATAACACAAGGCTCGGCACAAACAGATCAGTAAGGGCATTTCAGAAAAATGCAAGAAAGAAGAATACAGTAGGAATCACTGTATGAATCTCATGGAAAGTTGTACAAGTCAAGGCAAAAGGCAAAATTCATTATGATGACCCCAGTTCAGTTTCTTGCACCCAGCTCACAAACACCTGCAATTCCAGTTCTAGGAAATCTGACTCACACACATGGCATGCCACATGGCATATATTTACACAAATTCACACGTGCATACGCGTGCATGCGCACTCCCATACATACATAAAAAATCTTTTCTTAAATGTCAGTGTCATGTAGCTTAAACATATATCAAACCTCTTACCTCAGCACAGCCTCTTAAGTGCTGTAATTAAAGATGCCGGATACCATGAGCAGCTTTTAACACAGTAAATATCGTTGGATTTAACCTACACAAAACTCTGAGGTACTTAATAATGTACAAGCACAAAGAAGAGATCCTGAAACCAAAACATTCAGAATCTTGACATTCCTCTTGATCAGGACTCAGAGAGAGTAGATGTGACAAAGAGCACCAATTACATGAGGAAGAGGTTTCCATAAGTCCCTGGTCTGAGGTTTTGCCTTCAAGGTGTTTGAGGGGGGAAGTCTTAGGTTGGGAATTCCCTCACAGCCTCTGAATTCCTTTCTGTAGCCTTCAACCCCTGTCAGCTGTCCTGTCCTTCGATCTGGACACATGTTCTCACTCACACCGCAGGATTCTGGAGAAAGCCACTCACCTTCTCTGTGGTACCTCCCTCACAATGCGCGACGCTATAAACCCCACAGAGAGGAACAAAGTCTCAATCCCTCCAGGTTTTCTAGACACCAAGTATGGGGTCTGCAGCTCTGAGTCCCACCCTCCTGCTGCTCTCAGTACTCCTGGGTCTGACCCAGACCGAGATCCAGACTGGGGCTGGTGAGTGTGGGTCAGGAAGGAAAGGGCCACTGCCTGGAGGAGCCAGGGCTCCCGGCCAGGGCAGCATCCCAAAAACCTTTTTCCAGCACCCACCCTGACCCTCCCGCCCTTCTTCATCAGTGTTCCAGCCCTGCGCCCTGATCCCTTCTTGGCCCGTGTACCTGCCTAGGGTACCAGGAGGAGGGTCTTAGTCTCACTGCGCGCCGTCCCCAGGTTCACACTCGCTGAGTTATTTAGTAACCGCGACCGCGTCTCGAACGGGTCTCCGAGATCTCCAAGTCTTCGTCGCTGGCTATGTGGACGACACGCAAATCCTGCTCTTCGACAGTGAATTGGCTACTAAGATGGAGCCGCGAGTGCCATGGGCGAAGCAGATGGGGCGGGATTATTGGGAACAGGAGGGAAGGCATATGGAGGTTTTATCACGCTCGGCTCAAGAAAGTCTGCGATTTACAGTCCAGATCTATAACCAGAGCGATGACGGTGAGTGACCCCTGTATGTCTTCACCGACTGGCCCAAGTTGTCCCAGATCTCAGGTCCTAAGTTTGGTCCAAGGCTGCGGGGGGCCCACAGAGACCCTGGGCCCGGGAGAGCACCGAACTGAGACCTGGTTTCCGGTTCACTTTAGGTGGAAATTCTGTGGGTGGGCTGAGCCTTGTAGACAGGGCTGACTTTGGGGGGTGGCGGCAGGTTCTCATACCTTCCAGTGTTTCATTGGTTGCGACGTGGGTCCAGACCGACTCTTCCTCCGTGGGCACTATAGACATGCCTTTGATGGCCGTGATTACATCAGCCTGAACGAGGACATGAGAACTTGGACTGTGGCGGACGCTCAGGCTCAGATCCACCTGCAACAGTGGGGGGCAAATCGTGCAGCAGAGTTCAGGAGAAACTTCGTTGAGGGCCAGTGCATTGCTTGGCTACTCAGGCACCTGGAGATAGGGAAGGAGATTCTGCAGCGCTCAGGTAAGAGGGATTGAGAAACAATTCCTCCATCTGCACACAGAGTAGGGCGCATGCCTCCCAAGGAGGGAAGAAAAGGGTACCAGCTGAAACACTGTAGCTCTCTCTTGTATCCCGAGGGGAAGGAGTGCTCCTGGTTTTCCCTACCCAACACCAGAGAGTAAATCTCCCAGGACTCACCTTTCTCTCAGGACAATTTAGGGTCTCTCAGTGATAAGAAAGAAGATACCTGAAATAGCCAACAGCAGCCCGGTTCAGTCTGCAGCCCTTTGTGAAACATGGTCTTCTAGAGACTGAGTTCTCTGCCCATATGCAATATCTTTGGAGGTCTCACTCAAGTAAGACTCTATAAGTCAGGACCAGAATTCCTCTTTTCATGGTAGGAAACCTGGGAATATTCCTTTTCCAAGGAATAGATTATACTAGTGCCTGAGTATAAGACAATTTGTGTGGGGTTTGCACTGCCCCAGATCACCCCCTCCCCCTCCACATCTTGATTCTTCTGTACATTGCCAAGATAGACACACAAATACTGCTTAAGTTCCCAGAAAAAAATATAAAATGTTGAATTTTCCAACTCTTCTTCTCAGACCCTCCAAAGGCACATGTAACCCGTCACCCTAGACCTGGAGGTGATGTCATCTTGAGGTGCTGGGCTCTTGAATTCTACCCAGCTGACATCACCCTGACCTGGCAGAGGGATGGGGACGACCAGACCCAGGACATGGAGTTGGTGGACACCAGGCCTGCAGGGGATGGAACCTTCCAGAAGTGGGCAGCTGTGGTGGCAACTACTGGGGACGAGCACAGATACACATGCCATGTGCACCATGAGGGGCTGCCTGAGCCTCTGACCCTGAGATGGGGTGAGGAGGGGTGTGAGCACACAACCTAATGTCAAGGAAAACAGGTGACCTTCTGGAGACCCTTAGTAGAATCAATGCTGAGATGGGGGTGGTAAATGGTCCTCTCCTTCCTACCCTCTCTTCCTAGACCCATCTTCTCAGTCCACAACTGGAGTTGTAGTTGGTGTGGTTCTCCTTGGAGTTGTGGTCACTGTAGCTGTGGCTGCCACTGTGATGCTGAGGAAGAAAAGCACAGGTAGGGAGGGGATTGGTGTCTGAGGGTTTTCTGTAGAGATGAAGCCAGGGATGGAAATGTGCTCATCTCCTGTCTTGTTGCTGTGAGATACACCCATATGTGACTGCTTATCTAACCTAGGACTCAGTGTACTGGAAGATTTTGTTTGTTTGCTTGTTTGCTTGCTTGTTTTGAAGACAAGGTATCTTTACATAGCCCTGGCTGTCCTGGAACCTACTATGTAGGCCAAGGTGGCCTCAAATTCGAGAATCCACCTGTTTCTGCCTCCCAAGTGCTAGGATTAAATTGTGTGCCACTATGCCCAGTTGTGCTACCACTTTTTAAATGCAGGGCTATGAAGACACTAGAACATCATTATCCTGGATCTATCAGTCTTTTCATTTTCCTGATGTAGTCACTCAAGTAACTTTTCCAGGAATCTACTTTCATCATTGTTTTTCTACTTTTTGACATCTTCTCCCAGCTCTTGAGTTCTATTTACACATCAGGGAAACACCTAGTAAGCATACAGAAAGGTTACACACCAAAGTCCCTCAGTCACTCCCCCTTTCCCAAGCATTCCTGCAGCTGGGCACCACAAGAGTCCTCCTCAGCTCCCCCAGCTGAATGAGTAGATGGTGAGAAGGAAAAGCTGGAACTGCAGGAATGAACTGGGCTGGGGTAACACTGCACATCCAGTTCCCAGAGTAGCAGGAGAGCTGTCCACAGAGACCAGCTCCAGGGCCTCAGTGATTCCTGTGCTCAGAGGATCCCTGTGGGACCTGATGTTGATGGACTTGTCAGTTCTGTTCCCAGCTGTGAAGCCTTGAATTTGGTTCATTGGCTTTTTCCAAAATAAAATAATCACCAACCCTCCAATATCACATATTAAATTCCTTGGTTTTTAAAGCATAAGAATTTGGATTCTATTCTTTATATCTAAAAGTAAGAAATCAGTCTAGGGAATTTTCAGAGAGCAGCCAGTCCTCTCACTATGTAATTGCTTCCGGTATTTCCTCTCTGAGGCTGCGTACACCTCATGGGAGAGAAAACAATATGTATCAGTCAACATGAAAATTCAGAAATGATCCTGTATATTCTCCCTTGTCTCTCTCAACCCCTCCCCCAAATGGAATGCCCACATAAAACCCTTTTCCATCATGGTTCTCACGACCAACAACACTGGCCATAAATCTTGTTCCAAAATACTCAGAGTCATTCCAGATCCCTCATTTACATTGCTCAGTATGTATCCCAAGACTCACTCTTCCTTTTTCTGTTTCTCTGTTAACAGCATCTCACACTGTGTCCCATGCTGGCCTAGAACTCACTAAGTAGCTGTGATGGCTAATCTTCAGTGTCAGTTTGGCTGGATTTAAAATCTCCTAGGAGATCCAATTCTGATCACATCTGTATGAGTGTTTCCAGAGATTAATTGAGGTTTGAAGACACACCCTGGGGCCCATGGATAAGAGGAAGAACAGGAGAAAACCAGATGGGAAGATCCCTACACTCTACTTCCTGATCTACTGAAGTTTGCAAAATCCCAGCCCCATATTCCTGCTGCCACATACTGCATCGTGCCTTATGCTGAGATCTACTGTGCCCTCTAAAATCATGAATCAGAATAAACTTTTCATCCTTTAATTTGCTCTGTGGCTATTTTGTCACACAATAAAAAAGGAATAAATAAAAATCCATAAGAGCTTTGAAATACTTGCAATCCTCTTTCCCTTTCTTGCTGTGTTAGAATTACATATATGAACCACCATACCTGGCAGCGGGAAATTTTATGTAACATGCCATAAGCGAGGCTGATGCCCAGCCTGGGAGCTCCTGTCTACATCCTTGCAGCTCCATGATCTGAGTAACAGCTGCCTCTGTGCCCACTTGGTTATAAATACAGAGATTCTTGGCTTTCCACCAGACTTCAAAAAACTAAGTCTTTGTTTTGATTTTGCTTGTGAGGTTTTGCTTTGATTTTTTTTTTGTTCTTTTGTTGAAACAGTCTCACTATGTGACCTTGAGTGATCTGTAACTTGCTTTACATATAGACCAGGCTGACCTTGAACTCAGAGAGGTCCTAGGAGAGGAGGCACTGATCTCTGCCCAGAGTGCTGAGATTAGAAACCTGTGTCATCAAGCCTGACCTTTTTCTTGTTGCTAAATCCAGAGAGTCCTGTGCACAGGGAAGTCTGGGAATCTCTGGTCTATGGGCCTTCTAGACACAAGCCCAGAGCTGCACAGTCTATTCTAGGTGTGTGCTCTAATGAGATCACTGTGTACTGAGGGGCCAGGGTCAGTCCTGTTCTGTTTCTCACCTACTACTAACATTCTTTTGGTGATTTTATTCAACTCCAAGGTTTGAAATATCATTTAAGACCACCCCCCAAATAAGTTTCTCCAGCCCAGGCAGGAACATCTGTCCCTGTCAGTCTGGCTGCTTTGCGTGAATTTCCCTGTCTGCCAACAGCAAATCTACTCTGCTGCCTGTTCAGTCCTGAAGTTTTGTTATCGCCTTACTTCAACCTGTAGTACAAATTTAACCCAGTAGGAAATATTGTAATTCCATGTTTTAAATGAATCTAAAACTCAATTTTTTTTCATTGCTTTCTCTTGCTCACACCTTGAGGAAAAGCAACCTGTATCCCTTGCCTAAACTACTAAATGAATCTCCAATTCCTTCCTCTGTTGTCTTGCTTACTTGTAATGAATTCATTCAGTTCTCCACCGGAATAATTTTGTTTGTTTGTTTTTGCAACACAGTCCATGAAGCTGGACTTGTAGTCTCATGAGTCTGCTTCCCAGTTCCTGGGCTTCCAGGTATGCACCACAACACCTGGCTCTTGGTTTTGCTGTTTTTGAATTATTTATGTATTATAAACATTAATCCTGTTTTAGATTTAGTTGGTTTATTTTCTCCCTTTCCGTAGACTGTCTTTATACCCTCTAATTGTTTCCTTTGCTGGGCAGAAGCTTTTCATTTCATGCAACCCATTTGTTAACTCTTATTAATGTTTCTTGAGCTGTAAATCATTTCAGATCATCCTGATAAATGTTCTATGCATCTACCAAAAGGGTTTTCCTCCGGCAGATTTCAGAGTTTTGTGTTACATTTAAGGTCTTTGAGATTATTTTTCCACAGGGTGAGAGATAAAGATGTAATTTTGTTCTTCTACATGGGGTATAAAGTTTTTCCAACACCATTTGCTGAATGAATTTGTGTTTTTTCCCCTGAATACATGTTTTAGGTATTGTGGTTGGAAATTTTAACAAAAAAAAAATATATAAGAGTTTTTGTGGTACTGAAGGGCCAAGGAATGTCACTGTGCAACAGACTTCACTCAAGGGATTTATTGGGGGGTGCAAAAAGGCTGCCTCTGAGTAGGGATGTGAGGGGGTGAGAAAGGGAGAGAGGGAGAGGTGATGGCTCAGACTTTACAGAGGGTATGGAGCATGAGCGTAAGGGACTTTGGCACAGTGGCAAATGTCACAATGTGGAAGGAGAGAAGTTGTTAGGAGACCTGAGGAGGATCCTCCCTTCAGAGGAAGGAGCTAGCTGCAACATCTCCCTGGCCCTTGTATCCACAAGAGAGTCAACCAAACACTGACTCTGAAACCTGTAGCAGACAATAACTGAAGCTTTCCCTCCTAAGACAGTAACAGGCAAAAGGTGAAATTATGCACCCAGAAGAAAGAAGAATACCCAAGTCTCTTGTTGAAAGATTTATATAAGTTTTTCAGAGACCTGGCGTGTTAGAGCCTGAAGCACAGAATATAGAAACCTCATTTCTGCTCTGGTCAGGAATTGCCTCTTAAATACATAAGCATAGAACAGTGTACTTGGCTGAGTTGTTTCATGACTAAGAATTTTAAGTCTTTGAAAATTATTCCAGGGCTGGAGAGATGGCTCAGTGGTTTAAGAGCATTGCCTGCTGTTTCAAAGTTCCTGAGTTCAATTCCTGGCAACCACATAGTGGCTCACAACCATCTGTAATGAGGTCTGTTGTTCTCTTCTGGCCTGCAGACATACACACAGATAGAATATTGTATACATAATAAATAATTAAATAAATATTCTTTAAAAAGAAACTTTGAAAGAAAGAAAGAAAGAAAGAAAGAAAGAAAGAAAGAAAGAAAGAAAGGAAATTACTCCAGTAAACAGAAAGGGAAATAAATTCCCTGAATCTTGTCTCATAGACAGAATCTCTTCCAACACAAAGGCTTAACTCTTTTAGGCATAAGTCTTTTTTTTTTAACTAATGTGACCGATCATCTTGCTTTAATAGGACATAAAATTATTTTTTTTTCATTTAGCATTATTTGTTTATTATTATTATTATTATTATTATTAAAAATTTCCGCCTACTCCCTACCTCCCATCTCCCTTCTCCTCCCCCCACTCTCCTCTCCCTCCCTCTCCAATCCAAAGAACAGTCAGGGTTCTCTGCCCTGTGGGATTAGGCATAACTCTTAAAAAAATTTTATCTGAGTTGTGTTTTTATTATCATTGTTGTTTATAACAAGATCCAGTGTAGCCAAGCTTACTTTGAATTCATTGTATATTCAAAGATGACCTGTGTATCCTACCAGCCAGCTCCCAAATAACCACCCAAAGACGTATTATTCATTATGAACACTGTCTTAGGTGTGTTACTAACTAGCACTTACAGCTTGAATTAACCTATTTTTATCCATCTACTTTTTGTTTTGTGGCTTTATTACCTTTATTCTATATTGCCTATGATTCTTCCCCTCCATCTGACTGGCGACTCCATGAGTTTTGCCTTCTTCTCAGCCTTCTCTCTGCTTCAATCCTGCTTAGCTACTGACCATCCAACTTTTCATTAAATCAATCCACACGACAAATCTTCACAGTATACAAAATGATTATTCCACAAGAACCTTGAACATCTTATTCTCCTGCTTCTATTTTTCAAAACTACATCTTAAAGGTTTATTTACTTTTAATTTATGTGTATGTGTGTATGTCTCTGTGTGGGTATGTACACATCTCTACAGATGGCCTTAATGGCCATATTCTTGGGTCTTTAGATCCCCTGGTTATAATTACGAGTCTTCCAACATGGGTGTGGGAACTAAATTCGGGTCGTCTACAAGCGCTCTTAACTACTGATACATTTCTACAGCCCCTGCTTCTACTTCTTGATAGCTGAGTGTGCATCACAACACCAAGTTTTATGGATGATGATCAAACCCAGGTCCTCCACGCCAGGCAAGCACTCTGCTGAGCTGCAGCTCCTGCTCCAGTTTCTTATTGTGTAGTACAGCTGGCCTGATGCTCCCCACCATCTTCCTGCCTCAGGCTCCTGAATACTGAGATCAGAGGTGTGAGACACTATGCCTGGAACAAAAGCAAAACTCTAACAAAGACTCTAATGTCCCTTGTTCTGTGAACCATAGAGTTTGTTTTCAAACATTTACAGATTCATAAAAAGTAGTCACTGGAAGAGAAACTGACCTACACATTTAACTATACTCTCATTTAAATTAGAGTACAAAGATCAGTATAGGTCATGGGGGTTGAATATACCATATGGGAAAACAGTCTCAAATATACCCCAAGACTACTCACGGTTAAAGCAGATTAGGAATTGAAAGTTTTGAAGTGACTTTTTCCACTATCTGGCTAGTGAAATTATGACTGTCACAGCGGACCCTATTTCTCTTCTTGTGTTCCAGACTGCTAAGTAGCTAGTTAGATTTTAGTTAGATTTTCGAAGGATCCCTTCCCTCATAATAAATATCTTACAAAACTGAGGACTGATGAAGAAGGAGAATGGGAAGAGGGAAGAGGAGGAAAAAGAGGAGGGCTGGAAGATATTGAAGAAGAGGTGGGGATGAAGGAGAAGAAGATGAAGGTGCTGATGAAGACAAGAGACAGGAGGATGATGAAGGTGGTTGCAGATACAAAATGAACAGCAATTGATTCCAATCTTTAAAAATTTTTCTTTTTATACATTTTCTCCAATCCCTGGGAGTGAGTTTTAGTTATTTCTCCCCATCCCTCTTGTGTTCACTTGTCTATTTTCGAGATTCCTTTTCTCAAGACCATGGTTTTCAACTTATTTGTTTGTTTATTTGAAAACACCTTGAGCAAAATAAAATGGGAAAAGAATCTCCATATTGGAAACAGCGCCACAGCTGCATGGCCACTCTGAATCTCCATGAGCCCAAGGTCCTGTTGATGAGCCACCTACCTGCCTGAGTCCTGCTGGGAGCAGAGCTTTATGTGTCACATGCTCTTACCCACGCAAGCTTGGTGTCAGAGGACTATGCAGTTGGAGGGGTACTGGAAGGAGCAAAATCCCAGAGATGCACATGGGGCAGGATTGACTCCTCAAAAGAAAACTTTCAAAACAATTTCACTAAATGCTTACCA